ATGAACGATCACTTGAAATCCAAAAAATAGCTCTCCCTCCGAATCATTCCGACCTGGCTGGTTCCTATCAAGGTATCGGTGTGGTGTATAATAAGATGGGCGAGTACTCGAAAGCACTTTCGTCGCACGAACGATCACTTGAAATCCGAAAAATAGCTTTCCCTCCGAATCATCCCGACTTGGCTGCTTCTTACAACAACGTCGGTTTGGTGTACGATAACATGGGCGAGTACTCGAAAGCACTTTCATCGCACGAACGATCATTAGAAATCTGGAAAATAGCTCTCCCTCCGAATCATCCTGACTTGGCTTACTCTTATCACGGTATCGGTTTGGTGTATAATAATATGGGCGAGTACTCGAAAGCACTTTCATCGCACGAACGATCACTTGAAATCCAAAAAATAGCTCTCCCCCCAAATCATCCCGACTTCGCTCAATCCTACAACAACATCGGTATGGTGTATTATAACATGGGCGAGTACACGAAAACACTTTCATTTCTCCAAAAAGGACTCGCGATACGACAAAAATCACTGCCACCAAACCATCCGGATATTGCACAGTCGAAAAGAAACATTGAAAATGTAAAAAAGAAAATGTAATTGTTTTTTTATAAACGAGAAAATAAAACCTTCTTGAACACGTTTGGCTCGCCGAAGAGTACCAGCTGCAAAAATATAGTGCACGCGCGATCAGGGATACCCTCTGTATTCTGTTAGGTTGTACAGTGGAGAAAGCCAGCAATGATAAGGCAAGCATACAATTAGGTATGTATGACTACTACATCCATGAGCATCATCTTCGGAAACACGATGACGAGATGGATGCTTCTACTCCTACATACATAGATGTATGTAATGAAGACCTACCATCTGCACGCCTGTACAGGTTACCAACAGAACGTCGGATATCTCTGGGAAGGCTCATTTTGTTTTAGAGCCACCCTCGAAACCTCCGTTTGTTTTGAATTGTTTTGTTCTTCTGTTACGAAGAACGAGAAGAAACAGAAAAACGCGAAGAAAGACGACGTTGACGGAATTTTAATACGCAGCGTATGATGACAACCGGTTGTTTTGACTCATGCTGTGATATTGAGTGCACGATATCTATGTCGTCTTTAAACATGGTATGTTCAATTTATTTTCCTTTTCATCTAGAATGTGTAAGAACAAATGACATGTCGAGCACTCAATATCATGCTATAAGAGTGATGACTGAACGAAAGAACAACACAAAAAAAGAATTATCGACTATTCTCTTTGATCAGTAACATACAGATATATAAGAGATAATTGAACGAAGAAAGTGGAAAAGAAATTTTTAAAAATTTAATGATTTTTGTTACTTATTACATAACGTTTTAGAAAAATACTATTTTACGATCATGTTGATTGAATATAATATAATAAAACAGAAGTTCAAATAGATCAAGTGCAGTAGTTGATTTTTTTTTAAAAGAATTTTTTATATTTTTGTGTACTCAAAAAGTGAGTACACTCTAGAATCGGTCAGTGTGTCCGGCCGTCCGGCCGTTAACACGATAACTTTCGAAAGGAGAGTCCGATCGCGATGAAATTTTCTACACAGTTCAGTCTTAACAATATCTCGGTCGAGTTCGAAGATGAGAAGGACTGGCCGAGCCCTTCCTGAGTTATTGCAAAAATACTCATTTTTCCCTGCACCTTCCCTATGGAAAGATCGACCCATCCCCACTTTCGTAAAAGACTTTTCCTATCATAGTCAACTAAAACCCCAACTATTATATACCATTCGATAGAGAATTTCACGAGCTACAAAATGGTATATAAAACATAAAGAAACAAGAAGGTTGGCTCATCTATCACAAAGATAATTAAAGAGAACTAGGTTATATTTTTGTCCACGATCTAATTGATCCACAAATAGAGCTCTATCTTCCGATCACAGTGATGATACTTCGAGGTTTTCTGAGACGGAGAACTCGAATCTGTATTCCACTTCCATCGAAATACTATTGGTTGAGCAGAGACCAATAGAAATCGAGTTATAGGAAAAACGACTTTCTTAGGGTAAATCAAGGGGAAGAGTTCAAATTTGAGCTGTATTCGGTCCCAAGTCCTCTTGGTTTGGCAATACTCAATAGAAATCAACAGTTTAGAGGGTAGGTTCCCCAGTATAATTTTGATGTCCACACGTTCTAGAACGACTCATCTGTCTCATTCACTTTTTGAAGTACACATAACTCTCGGATTTAAATCCGAAGTTTCCGCATTTATTTAATAATAATTTACAGTCAAAATTATGGATCTAATAGAAAGATTTGTAGAATAGTTTTTCGTTCATTCATTGATGAAGGTGAATATTCAATCGACGTTAGACTTTTTCCGTCAACTATTCATTCATTTATTATGATTATCAGAAAATGTTTAAACTTATTTATTTAGCTTTAAAATAAATGAATTGAATATAAATTAAAGAAAATGGATAAACTAAGTAAATTACTTGAAGTTTGAAAATTATTTTCAAGAACAACATGTTATCGAATTTTTTTTTGATCTAGAGATAAAGGCGAAAATTATTTTAAATCAGTTACGACTATTGTAAAAGTATAAAACAAATTCTTTTTTTAATAATTTTGTATGAATTATAAAATAGGATTTAAAAGAAGCAAATTTAAGAAGAATTCAAGTTGAATCACATCGAATTATAAAAGATAATCCTAATGTTGGATAAAAAGCATTCAAAGATTTGTTTTATTTCAATTTCAATTAGATGTTCTATGGCGATTTGACGAATCAGCAAATGTAATACATGCGAAAAAGATTCAACTATTTTATCAGAATATAATGAACTTATTTTTTATACTCTTGGTTGATCAATTAATGATGAAAAAATCAACGTAAGTAAAAAAGAAAACCCTTGTCATCTAAGAAACCTCTTCTAAAGAAGTAATCAGAAAAAAGTTATGCAACTGAATAGAAACATAGAAAAGGATTGCTCTGGTTGATCAACAACTTCTGAGTCCATTTTTAGTTAAAGCTTAGAGCAGGAGAGGATATTTTTCAGATAATGTAGAATAGGTAGTCTCATACTATTTGACCAAATACCGATTGAGAAACCGTTCATCATTTGCAGTAAGAATAATAAAATTTGATTTATCATTAAATATCAATGATAAATGAAATAAATTAGTCATAGCTGATTCACTGACAATCGTTATAGTTAAGGTATGAAGTCGAGTGAGAATGAATTTTCTTTTGTTTTCCTAATATTAACAATAAATTATTTTCAGGATCCTCTCATGTCCTATTCAGTCAATATGTTATTCTATGATTATAGCACGTTTTCTAATGATAAATGTAATTGGTAAGTTTTCTTCAAATAATTATTTCAATTAATTATAATTTGTCTTTTATCTTAACAGATCAATTATTTGAACATCATAATCAAAATCATACTAAAATTTTAATAATTGGTTATCTTAAATTAAATATCAAAAAATTTCAATCATCATCAAGAAAAAGTCAACGATCAATAACAAGAACTAGAAATATTGGTAAAATGAACAACATCTTTCAATCAGTATTTGATAAATAATGAATGATTTTATTTTCTATGTAAATCTGTATTTTTTAATGTGTTGATACGATATTTTATATTTGTTTACAACATAAAAGATCATAATGTAATATGAAATTCATTGGAAACACATGAAATTATATTTAAATTTATTTGATTTTGATCAATTATTGATTTCAATTCAAATTGGATCTATAGAAGTAACTTATATTAGTCACACATTAAACACAGGTAAATATTGTGAAAAGAGAACAACAAGTTTTTTTTCTAAAATAATAGATTATTCAACATATCAATGTTGATTTATTGAAATTAATAAACAACACGATATTTTAGTATATAAAATCAATGATGAATTATATTCAAAACCAATAATTAATAATGAAAAACAAACATCCGTTGCTAAACTTGTTAATCAATTGTGTTTTTTTTTCCCAATCAGACATTTACTCAATGCGCATGGTACGATAAAAAGTGATGGTAAATCGCGTATTAGTATTAAATGTGCTGCACTAAAATATCTATCACATTTATCAATAATTTGATTATCCTACTGTAAGTATGTTTAATGCTTGTTTGAGACTTTTTTTTGTAAAGTTTCAGTTCAGTAAAATACATTTATTTTATAATCCAAAATTATTTCCAATGTTGTAACAGTAGGAGGATTCAGATGAATAGGATAAATCTGATGAAGGAGCTTGTAACAGAGTTTAGTTAACGTGGCTTCAATTGGCTATGGTCTCAAAGTTTTAGTGAAAGTTATCTGATAGATATGAAGATTTTACTATTGAATTGTTGAAACAAAACGATATGAAATTTTAATCTTTTTGAAACCAACAAAAGACTAGAACATTATCAGACTCGAAAATATGTCAAGTAGAACACTTTACTAAATAGGTTAAACATACAAAAATTTTAGAGTCCAGAGGCTGCATTTATATATATCCGAGATTGAAATTATACAGTCACATAATTACCTCAAAAACAAAGTTCGAAGCTAAAGTACGAATTCTGTACATATCTAGTACGAAAGAGATGTTCGGTTTTTCATTATGATATGAAATCAATTGTATTCCCGAATGAGTTTTTCTTTAATCTTTGAAGATTTCTGATTAAATAAAAATTTTGTAATTGATATGAAATTCTTATCTCTGTATAACTTGTAATGCATTAAAATCTATCGAACATCGAGGTATCTTTCTTTTTTCTTTAAGATATTACATCTCTTTTATCTTTATGTGAACACGGCGATCTATATTTATGTGATACATATGCAAATTTCCTTGCTACATTAATTAAAAAGAACAATTCATCTTTTAAGACTATTATCATTATCAAATTCATTTAATAATTCGTTTATTAATGAATATTCACTTGTATCAATTGATTCACAAGACAGTTCACGGTTAGATTAGAATATTAAATCGTCTCTTGTTTTTGATAAAAATATTTTTTCTTTTTGTTTTTAAATGTATTCAATTAGGTATATGAGCAGAATTACTTTCTACATTTCGATAATGTCTTTAGGATAATAATGTACATGTTATACATTTACAATCATAGGAATTAAATTATTAGAAGATTCTACTCAACATAGTACAAGTTCTGATATTCTTGCTAAAGTAGACAAATGACACTTATGATTACAATAAACTGTTTATGTGTATAAAATAGGTTGCTCTAGCTCAAATTGTGCATTATATTAATTTTCTCGAATACTAACTTATCTTGAACAACAACAATAACAGATAAAAAAAACAGTAAATTAAAACTAATCATATATAGAAGATAAAAACAATATCTTGGTTGTTTTTGTTTTACTTTTATTTTTAGAATCGATCATGACTTGATCATTGTATTGACATTATCTTTCTATTTCTTACTGATAATGATACAAGTGTTTGTCCAGCAGCTACTTTAACTTTTGCTAAGTATGTCAATTGTAGAGATGTTAGTTAACTAGGTAGTTTTATTTTCGAAGTTGAATAATGCATCAGTCGATTTTATTGTATTAAATTAGTTACTAGCTACTTTTTGATTTTAA